CCTCCCCTTACCTTCCCCCTCCTTTCTTCTTTCCCTCCCCCCATTCTGGCTCCCATACAAAATCTCTATTCCTTAAAATCGCTATTCCTTAAAATCTCTACTAGGCTAAAAATGCTTAAAATCTCTATTCCTTAAAATAACTATTCCTTAAAATCTCTACTGGGGTAAAAATAATTAAAATCTCTACACCGCGCAAATGGACGGTTGAGTCTCAACAAAAGTGTACCATCTGAATCTTTCTCTGGAAAAACCAGACTTGTTAATGGATACGGGTACAATTAGTTTAAAAATGGCTGCCATATCCGCCTGTATCCGCCTTAAATATCGAAAATATAAGACACGACTGCTTCGCTGCGGTCGTGTTCATTTTCCTTGCGGTGATCGTATCGAAGCGGCTGCTGTCGTTCCGCTGGACATGCCTGGGTTCATCCGCAGCGTCAAAAACTATTCAAGCAAAAGATAATCCAGAAATCAGATCAAAAGATAATCCAAAAATCAGAACAACGTTCCCGCACTTAACGTTGGCACTCAAAAGGCTTCTTAATAAAAATAGATATTTTGCCCATTTTTGAGCCTTGTAGAGATTTTAAGGCATTCTACTCGTGTAGAGATTATGAGGAATAGAGATTTTAAGGAATAGTTATTTTAATCATTTTTAGCCGAGTAGAGATTTTAGTGAATTTTAGCTGTGTAGAGATTATAAGGCATTTTAGCCCAGTAGAGATTTTAAGGAATAGAGATTTTGAGGGGATACGCCCATTCTCCTCTCCAACCCGTTCCCTGTCTATCAAAAAATTTCTTTTAAAAACAAAAACATAAATAAAAATAATTTCGAAATTTTTCTTTTTAACTCCTCTTCTAATCCTTTTTTATTCACCTCCCATTCCATTCTTCCCCCTTCGTACCACTTGTTCCCACACACACCAGACAAATTTTTATATTTTTTGGAGATTTCTTTTTTCTTTTTTAAATAGAATTACAAAATATTCCGTTGGCTCAGTTCCAAAAAATAATTTTAAAAATTAAAAAATTTTTAAATGCAAAAAACGCCCTTTTTCATTAATTTAATGAAATCTTCGGTACCCTTCGGCGCAGAACTACTTCGGCGCGGACTTATAAAATTACTATATGATGAGCACATAGAGCTCTAAAATTTTGCATGAATATTCCTAAATGTTTGAACTAACATCCCTCAAAATTTCAAATTTTTCTGTTTTTTATTTCAAAAGTTATGGTCAAAAGACAACAAAAAATCAGCATTTTTCTCCCATATTTCTGACGTCTTCCCCCATAACTTCTGAAATACTTAACCAAAAATTCTGAAATTTTCAGAATTATTGGTCTACACTATTAAGGACATCTCTGCGAAATTTCATAGCTCTAGGACCTCTTTTGACAATTTTATTAGGCTGCGCGCAACCACCATCGAGCCATGACCTCTCAACTTGTCCCCACGTCATAATTTGAGTAAAATGTCAACAAAAAAGTTTTGTTTTTGTAAATTCCTCTTTTCAAAAAGGGCACTAAACCTATAGAAATCTGAAAAAAAATTCTAAAAATGGAAAATACAAAAAAATATATTTTTTGGAAAAAAAATTTTGTATTTGGGTGCAAACAAAGAACCTTAACCTTATTTTCCCCCTTTTTGCAAATTTTACTTAATATATATTTTTATATTATTTTTCATTATTTTTTATTTTTTTCACACATATTTTTAGGTATTTGCGTGATAAATAAATATTTATATAATTAATCTGTGCTCTCCTTGTTTTTTGGCATTATGTCATTAAATGACATTTTATCCCAAAAATATTTTTATTTTTCAATTTAAATGTCGTTCACGTGTTTTTTGGTTATTTGCCAATATTTGCAAAAATAAAAAATTAAAAAACAATTTTTCTAAGGGAAAATGGTGTGACAATTCTTTTGGAAAAAATAAATGATTATTTAATTATTGCTTATGTCGTCATTTTCTTTGTAAAAATAATTTATTTGTTTTAATTGTTTTTATGCAAAATATGCTTTTTTTTGAGAATATATTCTATTTTTATTTTTGCAAAAATTTATTTTGTGAAAATTCGCAAAAAATACATTTTGCCAAAAAATAAAAATTTTTCTGTCATTTTTATTAAATATTATTTTTCATTAAAAATCATACCCTTTGGGGGTTCTTTGGCGATAACTTTTTGTCAGTTCGACCAAAAATTTTTCTTACTATCTCATTTTATAACGTATTTAATTCTCTATCGAATGATATCAAAAACTTACTGAAAAAGTTTCTTTTTAGATGAGCTACGGAAGCCAGAACGCAACTAGGTTGGGCTTGTATTTAACTTGCTAGGAAGGTTTTTTGGCGATAACTTTTTTGTTCCCAAACCAAAAATTTTGATTTTTACCTCATTTTCTAGCTTATTTAATTCCCTATCGAATTATATCAAAAGCTCAAAGAAAAGTTTATTTTTAGATGAGAAACGGAAGTCAGAACGCAACTAGGTTGGGCACTTGATTTAACTTGCTAGAAAGGTTTTTTGGCGATAACTTTTTGATAGTTCGACCAAAAAATTTTCTTCCCAGCTCATTTTGTAGCTTATTTAATTCTCTATCGGATGATACCAAAAACTTAAAGAAAAGTCGTTTTTAGATGAGATACAGAAGCCAGAACGCAGCTAGGTTGGGCGCTTGATTGAATTTTGTCATTGGTTTTTGTCTATAACTTTTTTCTTAACAAACTTAAAATTTTTCTTTATAGCTCATTTTATAGCCTGTTTAATTCTCTATCAAATGATACTAAAAAATTAAAAAATATTTTAGTCTAGCTGAGTTATGGTTCTTAGAATACTGTTAGGTCGCGTATAACGACCACTACGAATATCTTGTTTTTCGTCCATAACTTTTTTCTAAAAATTTTTCTGACTCATAAATATTATTTCCAATTTAAAAATGACTTAATAAATAGATTAATTAACTAACTAGGTATCTGACTGATTTTTTTATTTTAATAATATTTTTTGTTTGACTAATAATGTACTTGCCTTAATTATATTTATTATTTTCGCCTAATTAAAAAAAATTTTTATAATTCAAGAAAAGAGCAAAACACACCATATATTCACTTAAAATAATATATAATTAAATAACTATTAAAAAAATAAAGAAAATATTTTTTACAAAAGGCACCGCTCTTCAAAAGTAGAGTACATAGAAAAAGTATTATAATGATTTTTATATGCCATTTCCGTTGAATATTAAAAAATAGAAAGGTTATCACTATAAATCTCAATTAATACCAATCTACAAAGATTGGAGAATAGTTTTTAAAAGAATTAACTTTTAATTGTTTCTTCTTTTAATTTTTTTTCATTAAAAACAAGTGCACGTGTGTTAACACAGGTACGCGACCTAGCCTTATTCTGACTTGAATAATTCGGCTAATTTTAAATATTTTTATGAGTTTTTGGTATCATTCGATAGAGAATTAAATTAGCTATAAAATGAGGTATGAAGCTAATTCTTGACTAGTCTGAGGAAAAAGTTATTGTCGAAAAACCACCCTCATAATGTATCGCTTTACCCGACCTATCAGTATTCTAACACGCATGGCTCAGCTATTTAAAATTCTTTTTATGAATTCATGGTATCATTCGATAGAGAATTAAATTAGCTACAAAATGAAGTATAAAACAAAATTTTAACTTATCTCTCAAAAAAGTTATGGTTGAAAAACCGCCCTCATAACACTCCTGTTGCACCCGACCCACCCGTAGTTTGACACCCATATCTCAGCTATTTACAATCTTCATTAGAAATATTTAGTACCGTTCGATAGAGAATTGAATTAGCTACAAAATACTTTGTAACCAACTTTTCTGACTTAATAAGAAAAATATTATAGGCAACAAACTCCAAAGACATGCACTTTTTAAGAAAAATGCTAGTTTATAAATCACAACCATTTTACTTTTTAATCAAAAATTCTGATTTTGAACTATTTTATAGCTTATTTAATTATCTATTAAATGATACCAAAACTAGCTAAATTTACCCCTTAATTATTAAGTTATGACGCTATATCCAACCCATATACCCTATAGATTACTAACCTTTTATCTTTTAAAATTTTTAATTAAAACAGAATGCCAAAAACTACCAAAATTATTTTTAAAATTCATTTTCCTATAATTTTACCATTTTTGTAAAAATAATAGTTTGGGCGTGTCCAAAAATTGGCATATTTCCATCCGCGCAGTAACAAAAAAGAGGCGTGGTTTAGGGGATAAATACAAAAGACTGGGGAGAAAATAAATCCACACACCCCTAATAAACATCATTTTCTTGTAATTATTTTTCTAAAATATTTTTCTAGAAAATTTATTCGTCAAAATTTTTTTGCCAAAATTTTTATTTAAAATCCGAATAAAAATTAAATTAAAAAAATATTTCATAATGCCCAAAATGGGTGTGCGGACATACCGGGACGGACATATCGGGATTGGGGTGACAAAAATAATTTCTTTCGTGTTTACGTGTTCTAAAACATAAAAACTCTATTCTTCGATGGGACAATATACTATCCAAGACCCAGTGACCGTAGGTTCCGAAATCAATAGGGTAACTGTTCGTACATTGAAATATCCCGATATGTCCATCCTGGTATGTCCGCGTGCCCCCAAAATGTCCAAATTTTCTCAAAATGCCCTTAAAACGTCCAAAAATATTTTTTTCACTAATTCATTAAAAATTAATATTTCATAATGTTTTAAGTGACCACAAGGAAGAAAAGTTTTCAAAACACGTTAAATTCTTAGTCATTTCTCCCCCCAATTTTATTCATTCCTTTCTTCGCTTACTTTAAACTAAATAATAATAAAGTTGCCTTTAATAATTAATTAATTTTACAAAAAAAAAATTAAAAGAGCAAAGTTCTACCACAAAAAGCAACAAAATAAACAAAATTTTAATAAACAAAAATAAATTTTTTTTTAATTTTTTAGTGAAAAAATAAAAAATTAATATTAAGTAAAAATAAAATAATGACTAAAATGACGGCAAAAACAGTCTTGAGACATTCCTTGTATTTTTTGATATTTTTATTGTTTTTGTTGGCTACAACAAATGCTGGTAATGTTAGACGATATCATCGACATCATCAACAACAACAACAGAAAAAAGGTGAATAAAGAGGGGGAAAAGGGGAAAAATAATTAAATAAGGGGAATAGTTTGTGGAGAGGAGAACCTCGGTTACTTAAAGCCTCATAACTTAGGAACCAGTGGGAATTTTAAAAAGCTTTTGGTTTTGTTAGATAGAGAATGAAGTCTTCTACAACATATAACAAATCCAGAATTTTTCAATCTTTGGAAAAAAAAGTTATGCTCAAAAAACCAACATTTTCGGAGGGATATCTTTGGAAGAACCTAAATTACTTAGAGCCTCATAACTCTGGAACCAAGGGGAATTTTAAAAAGCTTTTGGTTTTGTTAGATAGAGAATGAAGTCTTCTACAACATATAACAAATCCAGAATTTTTCAATTTTTGGAAAAAAAGTTATGGTCAAAAACCCCAACATTTTTGGGGAAAAGGTTGAATTTTACAAGTCTTTCAGCCATAACTTGGGAACTACAACTCCAAAAATTCTGAAATTTATAGAGAAAATAGCTAAAAGTATTACAAGTATTCCTGCAAAATTATACCTCGATTGGACTTTGTTAGGCTATTTTATTTTTATTTCTCCACTAGCTGCCTCCACTTCCCTCCTCTTCAATTTTTCCCATATTTAACTCCAAAAAACCCAAAAATTAATTTTTCTTTCCAAATTTTCAGCAATCCAAGACGACTACGACATTACAGATTATAGTTCAGGCGTTTTTGTAGACCGTGTGCCTATTGTTAGCGATACCAGCAGTTCTACTTCGACAAAGAAGGCTTCCCATAATTACTCAAAAACTAACAGATATACAAATATTCCTTCAAAACTACGCAAATTTAGAGAGGATATTAACAACAATAATAATAATGATAGTGTGGAACGAAAACGTTGGTTACAAGAATTATTTGTTCAGAAAAAGAAGTGACTTTTTTGACGACAAAAATTAATTAATTCGGACCTTTACTTAAAAATCATGATTTAAAAACCTCTTAATTTATACTATTAGGGCGGCCAAATTTTGAAGGAAGTGAGGGGACAGGGTGACCATTCTATATATTAACTCCTAAAAATGACCGGAATTTCGAAAATAAACTCTTGAAATTCCATTTTCGAAATCTGACCATCTCGAAAGACGACCATTTCGAGAATCGACCAAATGACTATTTTTCCTTAGGTGACCAAATGTCCATTTTCCTTTGGGTGACCAAATGTCCATTTTTCTTTAGGTGACCAAATGTCCATTTTTCTTTAGGTGACCAAATGACTATTTTTCCTTAGTTGACCAAGTGTCCATTTTTCTCTAGGTGACAAAATGTCCTTAGGTGACCAAAAAATAATTTTAAATTTAAATATCCACCCCTCCTCTTCCTGAACCTATAAAAATTTGGCCACTTAATTTTTTGGTTGTTATTGTTGAACCTTATATTGCCATTCTCGTTAACTCCCACCTACAAATATTTGCAATTTTTGCCTCTTCCTGCCAACTAAAATATTAATTTAATTTCCCATAATTAAAAAATCTTTTCTTAAAAATATAGAAATATTCTTTTTAAATTTAATTTTTAATTTAAAATAATTTCTATATTTTTTTCTTATTTATTTTCCCCATTTTTTGTTGTTTTTAATTTAATTATCCACGCCAAAAATGTGATCTCTTCAATTTAAATTTGTTTTCTATTCATCTTATAATTTTGATTTCCTCTTTATTTTAGAGATTGAGACATCAGAGATTTATGACCTTTTAAGGGACTGATCTTTTTCCTATTTAAATATATGCCTTATCTCGAAATTTTAACACGAAAATCGCCTACAAATATATCAATTGTCTCAATCTCTGAATATAGTATTTTTAATTGTTGAGACACTAAATTGTTTTTTAATAAATGTTTTGTTTTACACTTTATTTTACAATAACAGAAGAAATAATACATACAATAATAAATTAGGTACTATATATTTTTTTAATTATATTAGCTATAATATTATTATCTCCTTTATTTCCTATACATATAACAATTATTTGAGGTTATATTCTAGGGTTGTAGTTTGAGGTTATATATATATTGAATATTCTAAAAATGAGAAATTATTAAGATAAACAGGCTTTTTAGAGGGGTGGGTTGTGAGTATTTCCGTAAGTGACGAAAAGGCCATTGGCAAAGTGTATTTTCCCACCGAAATGACCAAATCTTTCCCCTAGTTGACCAAATGTCTATTTTTCTTAAGGCGACCAAATGGATATTTTTCTTTAGGAGGCCAAATGTCCATATTTATTTTTAATTTCACTCACATTTTATTTCTCTCTTATTTCTCCCTCTATTCCTCTCAATAGTAAGGCGGAAGTCCATACTTCTCCGGATCGAATTTGCTCAACGAAGGGATCATTTCTCGAAAATTGGGATGTTTCTTGAATTTCCTCTCAGTAGCCTCTTGTCCTCCCCAGTTGGTAATTATAGAATCTTGTTGAGGTACCCAAATAACCGAACACCCAGCAGACAACGCAGATTTAACCCCATTAATGGAGTCTTCAAAGACGAGGACTTGTAGTGGATCTGAAGGTTTTGGGGTCATTCTACGCATTGTTACCTTGAAAAAGAAAAGATTTTTGAAGGGAAAGAAGTTTAGAAATTATACCAAATAGGGATCAGGTCCAGGCTTTCCAACTTCCACCTCTGGATCGTCCCCAGCCAGAACAACGGTGTTCATCTAAAGTTTTGAATTTTAATCGGGTCTTACTATAAGATACCCAATGGGGGTGGGAGCAATGCTTATAAATTTTAGATCTGCTCATACCCGTTCTGATAGACCATTACCACCCCATTTTACGTACCACCCAAATAACAGAACATTTTTTGACCTCGTACTTCATACCAGCCTATTTTTTTACTCGTATTCGTATTTCGTACCAAAGTACGAGTATGAATTTTGGTCCGAGCTTATAAACACTGGTTGGAAGGTGTAACTTATAATGAGTTGTCTTTTAAATAGAGGGTCTAGACAGCCACTCATACAGTGACCGACCAAATCTAAAAAATTAGTCTCCTTAAATAGAGGTTTATAAAAAATATTGTTGTGGATCCTACAGCGAGGTCTGACAGGAATTCCTTAAAAACAATGAAAAAAACTCAGAAACCAACCCAAAATTTCCCCAAAAATTTAGATTAACTCCCACCTCCCTTCACTCAAAAACATTTTTAAAAATCCTTTTTAAAAAATTCTCCAAACCTTTTTAACCAAATCCTCGCATTTATCAACCTTCTTAGAGAATTCGGCACTAGATGAGCTAGTACATATAGAAGTTTGAATTCCATTCTTTTGCAAGTGTTCAATAAGACGGCGAGCGCCCGGCATTAATTTCATGTCAGGCAAAAGCTTGTCTAGAGATTTGTTGTAGACATCCAAATATTCCTTAAAAAATTAAAAAAAATTTTTTGAACAAAAATAAACCAAAATTAAGCAAAAGAAATTCAAGTTAGCTGGTTTAAAAATGTTTGGGTTTCAAACGGACTCGAACCCGGGACCATCCTCCCCATAAACACAAAGGCAACCAACTAAGCTATAAAAATATTTTATAAAAGACATTGGATAAATTAAGGAAAAATTAATGGAAATGAATTAAAAATAACGAAAGCCTTTCAGAAAAAAAATTTTTCCGAACAAAAATGAACAAAATTAAGCAAAAGAAACATTAGTTACAGGGTTTAAAATGTTTCACATTCAAAAAAGTTCGAACCCGGGACTATCCCCCTCCACAGACACAGAAGCAACCAACTAGGCCATGAACAAACTTAACTGAAATCATAAAAAAATCGACTAAATTAAAAGAAAAATTAACGGAAATGAAAAAAATAATAGAAAACCTTCATAAAAAATTTTTTTTTAAATTTCAAAAAATTTTTTGCTACTTATTAAAATTCCAAAAATCGTTCCAATAAAAATTAAAAGAAAAAAATTTTTTAATCCAAAACTAACCTTTTCCGTAACATTTTTCTCGCTTAGACCAGACCTTCGAAGAACACACTCTACAGCATCCGTTAAATTCCTTCCCATTTGTGCATGTTTAATTTCAAGTGTGTAGTCCCCACCAAAATGTGCACATGCCTCTGCGTTTGCCTTTAAATTTGTTTTTAATTTTTTTTGTAAATTTTGTCTCGAATTTTTGTCCGCAAGTTTTATCCGCAAAATTGAATCTTAAAAAACATCCCTTTTGGTAACTCCTCGTACTCCCCTGGCATTTCCTCGTATCTCTCCTCCCTTCCCTTACAATTTAAAGAGAGAGGAAAATTTAAATTTGAGTAAACACGGAGAACGAGTAAAGTAGTTAGAATTAGAAGGGAGTGAGATACGTACAAAACCCTTACATCTGCTCAATTCAATCCTGAGTGATGGGCGTATTTTGCCTGATTTGACATTCCATCCCTCATCACTTCCCTTCTAACACTGCCAAAATTTAGCCTAAGGGATGCCGTTATATAAGGACTAGATTATTCAGTGTTTGGACAGAAAAGGTTTTCGAAATCTGATTCAAAATCAGGGAAAACAACGCTGAGCAAAACCAAGATTCCAACAGAGGGGAGACAAATACACAATTTGCGGACAAAACTTGAGGCATATTTCCCCCACCGATCAACCACCCCAATTTTACAATAATTTTAAAAAACCTGGTAGAAAATAGTTTCAGAATCCACAATAATTCCATCAAAATCAAAAATGACGGATTTAATCATTTTCGGCTTCCTTGGAATATCCCCTCCAGTAACCTTTTTAACTTCATCGTCTTTATAGAGGCTTTTAGCAACATAAACAGCAGTACCGACGCCACCAGCAGAAGCGAGAAGAAATGGAAATCGGAAGAAAGAAGGCATTTTTGGAGAGGAATAGTCCTTTTTGAGGAGAAAGAGAAGAAAGAATTTAACAATTATTAAATTGTTAAAATCTGAAAAAAAAATTAAAAATTTAAAAAATTAATGTGAAATGTGCCCTTTTTGTTGTGGACGATTTTACTTCTTTTATACTATGTTTTATTTTGAAATTAAACTTTTACAACGAATGTTTGAGTTTGGCGGAAAACATTTATTTAAAAATTAATGTATTGTCTTTGTTGTGTTCAATGTTTTTGTTGTGTTTAATGTTTTTAAATGTTTTTGTGTTTTTATTTAGATGTTTTAGATTAATAAATGTTTGTTGTTTTTCATGTTTTGTTTGAATGTTTTGAAAAACATGTTTTTCAATGTTTTAATTTTTGTGTGTTTTTAAGGCTTGTTTGAATGTTTTGTTTGTGTGTTTTTCAGGATGTTTAAATGTTTTTGACATTTATTTAAGTGTTTTTCATGTTTGTTTAAATGTTTTGATGTTCGTTTAAATGTTTTTATGTTTATTTAAATGTTTTGATCTTAAGCTTTGTTTGTTTCTGTTAGTTTCAATGTTTGATCTTAATAAGTGTTAGTTTGTATGTTTTTATGGTTTTGCTTGAATTTAAATTTGTGTTTGTTTGAATGTTTTTCATTTAATTTAAATGTTTTTGCTCAAATGTTTTAAATTGATTTAAATGTTTGTTTGTGTTTTTCATGTTTGTTTCAAACATTTTCTAATGTTTTAATCTTAATGTTTTTGCTTCAACTTTATTCAATTACTCATATTTTAACTTTAATTTGCTTCCATTTCTCACTTTTTGCTTTTAAATTGTCATCAAAAAATATTTTTTTTAATATTTTTTTCTCAACATTTTTTTTTTCAACTTCCAAAATCTCTCCCCAATTTGATGAGAATAAAATAAAACCAAAAAAAATTTTTCTTTAATTTGACAGGAATTTTGGCTGATTTACAGCAATCATTTTATAGACTTTTCAATCTTTTTTTGCTTCCACATGTCGCGACCGCGCGGCGATTTGCTCTATTCAACTGATCACCACAACAAATGTTTTAATAGGTAAGTGTATGTGTGGGGAAAAGAATCGATCATCTATCTATCTTTCTTTTCACACAAACACAATTATCATCATTTTGCTACCAAACATTCAATTGCTCATGCATTTAACAACTATTAACTTAATCGACAACAAAACTTTAATTTTTCTTAGTTTTTATTTTTTTCTCTTTTTAATATTGCGCAACCACGCGAATATAAATTTCTCAACAAATTTTGATATTTAGTTTGTGTTTCTTGCTGTTGTTTTTTTAAAAGTTTTCTCCTCTCAAGTTCAAAGAATATTGAAGCAAACAAACTAAATTGCTATTTAATGTTTTGCCATGGTAGGTTTATAATGTTTTTGTAAAATGTTCTTAAAAATGTTTTTGTTTATTAAATAAACTTGTTGGTGTTTTGTTTGTTTTGTTTGCTTCAAGTTTATTTTAATGTTGTTGTGTTTGTTTTAATAAATCTTGTTGTGTTTGTTTTAATAAATGTTGTTGTGTTTGTTTTTGTTCCGTTTGTTTCAAGTTTATTTTAATTTCTATTCACATGTTTTAAGTTTACGACAATAAAAACAATGTTTGTTTAATTTGTTTATATTGTTTGTTTTAAGTTTAATGTTTTTCTCATGTTTTCTTTTCAAGTTTATTTTTAATAAACCTGTTTGTTTTGTATTGTTTTTGTCTGTTTAATTTAAGTTCAATCTTAAGTTTGTTTAAAACTTTGTTTTTAATTGTTTTAATTTTATTTTGAGCTTGATCTTAAGTTTCTATTATTTATTCAAGTTTATTTCTTTACAAACTTAAAAACATGTTTTTAAACCTAATTAATAAATAAATTCAGAAATTATGCTCATCCATAACAACTAAATGAAGTTGAAAGTTGCAACATCCATAAATTACCCTCAAATTTCTTCAGGATCTCAAAAATCATTTAAAACAACCTTATTTATTTTTATTTTATTTTTTGAAGGTAATTTTTATTAAAAATTAAAATTGAAACAAAATTTTCAGTTCTCATTAACCATTTACTCCTAGCCAATTTAAATCAAAAATTGCCAGAACCTCAAAATTTGAGAGTAGTCCAACAAAGAACTGCTCCTGATAGTAGGTTTAGAAACCTTAAAATTTTTAAAAAATTTCAAAATAAAATTAAAAAATTTTTTAGACTTCAATATAGGCGTAATTCACGTCAAATTAAAAAATTGGACAACAACAACAAGATTTCCCAGAACTTCAAATAAACTACATTTTATATTAAATGATACAGAACAGCAGCATAAAAGACGGAGAAATTATGAGGTTGGTGAAAGTCGTGGGAGAAGAACAGACGGAAGTCAACCAAATCAAGCAAGTAATGGAGGAAGTGGCGGTGGAGGAATGGAAATGGAAGGTAAATTAATTATTTAAAACTTTAAGATTAAACTAAAAACATTAAGATTATTTAAAACTTAAAACAAACAAAGTGCAAACTTGGTAAAAATTGAAGCAAGTCTCTAGTTGCAAATTTGATTCTTAGAGAAACTTGTTTCTTTGCATACTAAAAACAAACTTTAAGTGCAAACTACAAACTTGAAAACATTTAAAACTTTAAACAAACTTTATTGTGAGAACACAAACTTGTTTTAAATAAACTTGAACAAAAACATCAAATAAAGTTGGAAACTTAAGTACGAACTTAGAAAATTACAACCATTTAAATAAACTTGGAAACTTGTTTACAAACTTGAAACTTATATTTTAAACATTAATTGTTTCAAGTAACTTAAAGTAATAAATTTACAAAAACATTTACAACATTGCTAAACTTTTTTTTATTTTACAGCGCTTTTTCCTTACTTATTGTTGGCGCTTGGATTAGCACTTGTTGCCTTCTTTGTTATTCTCTACGCTATACTAAATGCTTTGCTTCAACGGAAGGATCAACACGAATCAGTGGAGCAACGAAGGAGGAGAAGAAAAAAGAGGAAAAGGAGAAGAAAAAGGGATTGGAGGAATGACAGTAACGATTTGATTGAAGGAGGGAAGCATTTTGGAGATGATGAGGAAAATAGTTCAGAGGAGAAACATGTGTGTTTTTTGGGAAATTTTTGTTAAAATTTCAAAAATTTTAATTAGCTTGACTCCCTTGACGAAGGAAGCAACGATTTAGCACATCCTCCTCTAATGGGTGTTAGGCCAGTTGCGAGATGGCATAGGTCTAGGGACGGACCACTTGATGAGGAACTAATGGAACGAAATGATAGTGATTGGATGATGAGTGGTGGAAGTGGGATGAGGCGTTATAGACAACATCGAGCTTCAGGGTAACTCACCTATAAGTCAAATAAACGTTCATTATTCCACAGAAATCGAAGAGCTCCGCCACCTCCACTTCCCCATTTACCTCCACCGCCACATGAACCTCCGCGATCTCGACAACTAAGCCAACAACATTATCCTCAACACTACACAAGAGGTCAAAGGCACATTGGCTGGGCAAATGAGGATCAGATCAGTTTGCCTGGCATTCTTCGATCAACCCCCAGGCCACCTCCACCACCCCCTCCTAGAGCTCCACCGCCACCACCACCTTTACCTGCGAGATGTAAAAATATAATTTTATCTGATTCAGTCTAACTTTGTTTTTGTAGACCAAAAACGCTCTAGAAGACAACCACACGAACCCAGTATTGACAACAGTAGTGACGAAAATGATGATCAAAGCAGTGACGGGGGTAATCGAAGGCATCGAGTTTACCATAAAAAACGTCACGATGATCAAAAACGAAATAATCCCCCACCAATTCCACCTCCACAGCCACTCCGACGGGAGAATACAGACTCTACTGTATCTTCTTTACAACGGGGAGGTCGTGCTGGATCTCTCTAATCCGCAAATTTTAAAAATGATTTATGTGATATTCAATAATTAACAAAAACACCTCGAGAATGAAATTATATTTATTTTGTATGAAAAAATAAATTCTGAGAAATTCTACAAATTAATTTCCGGAAACGTAACCAAATGCCTTTCAAAAACCTAAAAGGATTTTTACAAATTGTAAATTATTTACGAAATTTGCCTAGATTTTACAAATTGTAAAATCTTCACGAAAGGGTTGTAAAGCTATCCGGAATTGACGAATTTTACAAATTGTAAATCATTTCGAAAAGGGTTTGAATCTGTTCGGAATTAATTTAAAACGATTTTACAGATTGTAAAATCTTTCAGAAAAGTTGTAAATTATTTCCGGAATTAATTTAAGATGATTTTACAAATTGTAAGTTAATTCTGATAATAGTTGTAAAACTTCGCGGAATTTGTTTAAAGAAGTTTTACAAATTGTAAAATCTTCCGGAAAAGATTGTAGAGCTATCCGGAATCGTTAGACTAATTTTACAAATTGTAAATTTCTTCCGGAAAGTTTTTAATCTGTCCGGAATTTATTTGTATTGATTTTACAAATTGTAAATTCTTCCGGAAAATTGTAAATTATTTCCGGAATTCGAAAAAAATAAGTTTTACAAATTGTAAATTACTTCCGGAAAAAATTGTAAATTATTTCCGCTTACTTAAAAAGTTTTTACAAATTGTAAAATTTCTTCCGGAAACGGACAATTACATATAACCCCCAGGTTTCTCAATTAAATAAAAATAAAATCACACAATTTATTCTTTCACATTCGAATCAATTAAAAACATTAACTAACATTTTACATTTACAAAATAATAATATGTGTAACATCAGTAAAATAGTATTGTAAAAATTGATGATAGTGTAAAAAGGGCAGGAGGAGAATGTTTTTTTACAATTTTTCAGATGACAAACTTTTAATGTTCCAACTTTTTTTTTCACAAGTTTCGAATTTTGACCTCTTTTTAAGTTTAGAAACATGTTGGAATGAAAAGCTACTGAAATTTTGGAGGTGAAAACAATTTTAGTATATACTGATAAAAATATTTAATGAGGACTGTGTAAATGAGTGAAAAATATTTTTAAATAAAAGCTTACAAGTTTTTAGGTTTTTTAAAATTTTCAGGTGAAAAATCTTGAGATTTTTCATAAAAAACATAAAAACATCGTGAAACTTGGTAAAATAAAATTGAATATAAAATGAAAGAAAAATGACAATAAATGAAAGATCAGATACAATTCAAATGATACAAATAAATTTTTTAGAATGGATCGAGTTGTATTTTTATAGTCATTGCTCAAACTTGGGAAACCCTTTTGTTTAAATAATAGGGTTGAATTATTATTCAAGTTTGCGATATAGTCAAGTTTTACAATCTTTTTAGAAAATTATTCCGTAAAGCTTAATTGTAAAAAAAGGTTGGAAAAATTATAATTTAAATTACAATTCCTCTAAACAAGTTTGAAAAAATAATTACAAAATAAAATTACAATCCGTCAGAATTGTAATAAACTTTAAAAAAAAGTTGGTAACTTTCCGAAATTTACCTTTACAAATTGTAAATTATTTCCGGAAAAGTTGAAAACTATCAGTAATTAACTTTTACAAATTATAAATTGCTTCCGGAAAAGTCGTAAACTAACAGGAATTAACTTAAGGAGTTGTAAAAACATTCCGTCAGAATTGTAAACTTATTAATTGTAAACTAAATAGAGAAGAGTGAGGCAATGACTATTATTTTTAACTTAATCCAATTCTGTGCTGCATATTTCTTTCAATAAAGATAATTTTTGATAAAATAAAGGAAATGTATTTTTAGCTAGATTGCTTAAAATTTGAGGTAATGAGTAAAATATACTATTAAAAATAGTATCTTTTAAAATTTTGAAATTTAAAATTTTATTGAATCGAACAAAAAATAGAGGAATAAAACCAAATATATAATTTTTTCTATCCCTGCTTATAACCAAATAAAATAAAAATTAAAGAAATGAGGACAAAAAAATATTTTTTTATTTCTTTAATTTAATCATCCAAACATCCTTCACGAAGAAAAAAAATTTTTTTTCTTACGGCAAGTCAAACTGTCCCCCTTGTGCCAATTCATGACGCAATACTGCATCAACGTCCAAGTCAGCAAATGCTTGTTGATCTACAGGCATAGCATTAACACTTTCCAAATCAAAAGGAAGAGAAGTTCCGTTATTATTATTATTTTCACCCCCAATAATTCCTCCCCCTGGGAACATTATTTGTCCATTATTTGAAGCCATTGGATTAATATGTTGTGGAAAGGTGTTAGGAGGTTGTCGATTCCATTGTTGGAAATTGTTGTTGTCTGGCGAAAACATTTGTTGTTGTCCGTTAGTTGAGGTAAATATTGAAACCGGGAAAGATTGTGAAGCAACACTAGTTGATGAAGGTATACTAAAATATATAGAGAATATATTTTTCCGGAAAGACTTTATAGAAATACTAAAATAATATATATAGTTCCGGAATTATATGTTTACACATATAGTTCCGTAATTATATGTTTATGTTTTCCGGAAAAGTTTAATATATTTCCGGAAGGTTATATTTATTATTATATATTTTTTCCGGAAAAGTTGTTTCCGGAAAAGTTGTAAAATCATTTGTAAAATGTATTTTTCCGGAAAACATACATTTTACAAATGTTTTTACAACTTTTCCGGAAAAGTTTAATATATTTCCGGAAGTTTAATATAAGCAAAAACGTTTTTACAATTTCCGGAAAAGTTGCAAAATAATTTGTGAAATGTTTTTCCGGAAAATACATTTTACAAATGATATTATAACTTTTCCGGAAATTGTAAAAACATACAGAATGTTTACAAAAACATTTATATTTTACAATTTCCGGAAAACATATGTTTCAATTTTAGTTTTACAATTTACGGAAAACAAATAAACAAAACAAGTTTGCACCCATTTCAATTACAATTTAATTTTAACATTGTTTCACCTATTCATTTTCATTGGTGTCATCATTTGTTGTTGTTGATGCTCTCCCATCCTAAGCAACAAAGGATTTTGCATTTGTTGAGGTAAAGAACCACGGACAGCACTTAATTCTTGATATGATGGGGGTGGGGCAATAGCTTCCTGTTTAATAATTTTTTGTTCTACATCAATTTCAGTTTTAGGGACGACTAGAGGATTGTTTTGAGGAGAAGTTGCTAAAGGAATTAATGATGAATGTCGCTTGTTGTTAACACGAATTAATGCTTAAAAAGAAAATTTATTTCATTTTCAATCTATTATTCCACTACCTCCATTCCCATTTCGCTGAAAAGTTGGCCTCATTGGTCGACGCCCATCTAGACGCATTTGACCTGTCCGGTCAAGTAATTCACTAACTTGTGGATTTAATATTTGTTGTTGTTGCCCTTCCATTTGTTGTTGTTCCATCCAGGGAGGAAAATCAATGTCCTCAATACAAGCAGAAGTCTCAAGGTTTGGAGAAAAACGAGTGTTGCCACCAGTAACAGAAAGAGTAGAATTTGCACGAGGTCTGAAAAAATAAAATGAAACTTGAGGGTAAAAAAGGGAATTTAAGAAAAAAATTTAGAAAATATCGGAATTTAATCTTAAACAGAGAATTAATGCAACGTATGTGAATAATATTTTTAAGCAAATAGAAAAATACAAAACTTGAAAGATTCAAGTTTGAGAAATAAAACAAGTTTGAAAATAATCAAACTTGTTTATTTTCAGGTTTAAAAAAAGTTTTTAGCAACCTATCGCAAACTTTAAGTTTATAATCTTAAGATCTAAACTTGTTTCAATTTAAGTTTAAACTTAAAATAAAACTTGAAACCAAGTTTACAACCTTAATAAAATTAAAACTTAAAGTACAAACTTGAAAGAATATCAAAACTTGAAAAAATTACAAACTTGTTTGTTTTCAAGTTTTAAACTAAGTTTTAAGAAAACTACCTCAAACTTTAAGTGTATATCTTAAGATCTTAAAACATGTTTCAATAAAACTTGAAACAATTTAAAACATTAATAAAATAAAAACTTAAAGTACAAACTTAAAAAATATCAAAACTTGAAACAACTATAAAACTGTTTATTTTCAAGTTTTAAACTAACAATAAGTTTTAAGCAAATTATCGCAAACTTCAAGTTTATAAAGCAAATAATTTTAAGTTTCATTTAATTTAAAGAAAATTAACCTAAACATAAAATTGTTGTTAACACTGCCAGCAACCCCTCCACCCCCGCCACAAATCGGACCTTCTCCTACAACACATACACCTCCTCCCACCATTTCTGCATTTGTCCCACATGGCATCTCTTCATGACAAATATCATTGGGGTATGATAAATCTTGTAAAGAGGCAGCTTCCATAGAATAACAATCTTCATGTTTTATATCTTTGTTTAAATGCTCAACACGTTTTCGGGCAGTTCCACGTCGTTTTCGATCCATGGCAGTTTTACTTGAATTTTCCATAGTGTTGGCACGTCGACGAGGGTTACGACCAGGTTTCGCTAAAAAAATAAAAAATAAAAATACAAGTTGGAAAACTTGAAACATTTACAAATTAAAGTTGGAAAAGTTTGTAAACTTAAATTCAAGTTCAAACTTAAATATTTAAGATTACTAGTTGGAAAACTTGAAACATTTACAAATCAAAGTTGGAAAAGTTTGCAAACCTTAAATAAGTTTAAAAATTAAATTTAAGTTCAAACTTAAATATTTAAGTTTACGAAAAGTTTGCAAACTTAAAATAAGTTTAAAACTTAAATCCAAGTTCAAACTTAAACACTCAAGATTGCAAGTTTTAAAATAAAGTTTCAAGTTCATAGTTTATAAATAAAAACAGAACCCACTCACCATCAGGGTTAATGACCCACCAACTGCTTTTTCCAGCGCCTTCGTTTTGAATACGCATAAAACGGCTGTGCAAGGAAAGATTGTGTCTGATTGAGTTCTGTGATGGG